AAAGCCGCTGTTTCTTCAGTTTTTCTCGTCTAAATCGTGAGGACAAATGATATCTCCTTTAAGGTCATCAAAGTTGATGTGACCCCAACAACAATGCCTCTTGTCAACAAGTCTGACTTGGGCGTATTGACCAATAAACTCCTCTACGTCCCAGCCCTTACGATACATTGTCTCATTACAGTTTCCTGTCTCCTTTCTGACGACCTAAACGTAACGACAAACATGAACAGTTTTTAAACATTTGTTTCGACGATTGCTGACGTATCTAACATGACGATATCATACATGAATTTACTCGCAATGCTTCAAACTTAGGGGAAAAAACCTGTTCTTTCGAAGGGGGTAAACCAAAGACTAAACAAGTGTGCCAGACACCAAGTTGGTCATATTGCGGACTTTCCCTTGAGCTCAAACCAAGCCATTTCTAATTCAAAAGATAATTGAAAAGTAAAGCCAAATTTTTTCGTTTGTTATCAGGGCCATCATCACTAACCCAGATGATGACCAAGGGTCGAAAATGTTTAAATTTACTTTTTAAAGATATTTTCCCCATAAGTATCCCTTTTTAAACCTTGGTTAATTTTATGGACTGTCATAACGAAGTTCAACAGGGTTCGCAAGATTAAATATCTGGTACCTTGATCAATCTACCTAAGATGTTTTAAAAGAATCAAAGAACAAATAATAGTCAAAGTGAATAATCTCACCTGGCTGTTGACAATAAGCTCCGCACGAATTTCAGATACGGTACATCCCCCACCAATAAGAAACGAAATATTCTTTCCGACGATACGAAAACAAGGTGAGGTGAGAGTTCCGTTGGGTGGGTCGGCTCCCGCTGGATGCTGCTTTCCTGCGGGATCGCTCTCATTGGACCGTTTCTCAGCTCCCCCTATCCACCAGTGCCCTTGCTGCTGGGCGCTTTCTCTTTCGCGCGCGACTGGATTGTCACCAAATGTTGGCTGGTAAATAAAAGCTCTGCCTGTCATTTCCCACCCGCCGATTCCATTTTCAAAGTCAAAGCTGCAAGCTACATTAAAAAAAAAAAAAGCGAAACTTTTATATCTCCCTAAATACTCTATGATAATCATTCGGTATTTATCTCACCTTACGTATACAGTTTTGTGTTTAATTACCTTTCTTGCAGTATACACCAGTGAATCCTGATGGACATTTACAACGAAATCCTTTATCAGTGTATCCAGCTTGACACGTGCCGTTGTTGAAACAGGGACTGCTGCTGCAGGGATTCTGTTCAAGACAGAATGAGTGAGTATTATAAACATCCATGGTTAGTTTACTTTCTTGGGTTATCATGTAATCTCAAAGGAGCACATTGTAGTATACTAGGACGGCGGTTGCATATGTAAAAGTATACATCCGGGAGAGTTTGAGCGTGGGAAGATTATTAAAAAAACGTGTAGTGTGTACTGTAGTTGTTCGCCTTCGTGGCTGCCTTATTTGGCTTACTTTTCGCTTTTAGACACTACAAGCATTCTTGCTGGAACGATAACTTTTTGAGCCTTTTTGATAACGTAAGAGCAGACAAGAATTAATTACACTTTATCAGTCATTAAACTAGAAAATCTATCAATCGCGGTCTTCGATATTTTGTTTGTCGAGTAGCGGTTAAATGGTTCCCTTTATTTTAGCTACGAGTATCTTGTTGTGTTCTCTTTTTTTAATATTGTAGAGATAACAACCCTGGTGAACCATAGCTTTGGTATTCTCTCCTATTCAGGTGATTCCTCAAGAATAAATAAAAGTTGCCGAAGGATTTTTTTACTGACATTTTCCGTGAAAGGATAGTTCACCAAAGAGATAGATAGTACTAATCAGGTGGGCTATTTCATCGTTTCAAAGCATATTTCTCGATAGTTTCAAAAGTAACACTTGAAAAAAAAGAAGCCATTTGAGCGATAAGTAAAAAGTCTCTTGCTTTTGTAATATTGTAGTATTTTTACATACAACAATATTACAAACGCAAGAGACTTTTTTTTTTATATCAAAATATGCGGAAAGTCTTTCAATTTCATATAATCGCAATCAGGTTAAAGCGTTCCTCAGGATGCGCAATGCAGTACTGAGGAATCATTTCAATTCAATTTATGTACAACTGCAAAGGTAGTTCAAGAACTAATCGGAAAAACTGATCGCCCATAATAATTGTGCATCGTCTAAAATAAGTCACTTTACCTCGATACTGATATGGATATAATCTCGTTTACTCTGAAGATCGGATGAGCCTGGACTTTCGTCCGAAGCATTGTTCAGCTCACAATTGTAGTTCCCTCCTTGTGAAGGCCCAACATTTATGGACACACAATTGGGCTCCATATAACAGAGCACATTACAGCTGCCTTGGCGGGGCACCTCTAAAATCCTGATCAGGTGGCCTTTCATGACTTTGTCCTGCATGGGCTCTTTGAAAAGAATGGATCGGCATTCTTCACCTATTTGCCAAATAACAAAACAGGTTCATATCATGCACAGTATTGGTTTACTGATGCTGTAGATAACGGCAGAGTAATATTCTTGATAATTTAATTTGCCTTGTTAGACACTGCATAACGGTGTGTTGCTGCCTTTTGGTACACTGAGATTTTTCCCTCGTACGATATCTACTTGTTAATTTTTCACCGAAGAAAGAGCTTGTCTTAGAAGGTATCTGTGTGATTTTATCCGGCTAGATTTTGAAAGTGCACTGAATTAAGTAGTGAGAACCAGAGGCGAGTTACCCGTCAAAGAGGAAAGCAATTAATTTCCATCCTTATTTAAGTCAATCCTAGTAGAAAGGACTATTGAAAGCGACAAAACCCCACAAGTCTCATGCCTTGAATGTTGATCTTCTTCCTGCACTGTTCATTAGCAGATACACAGTCCACGAAAAAAACCAGGATAAAGAGACAAACGTTTGGCCTCAGCATCCATCCTGTAAGAATAATATTTTGAATCGCATCATTGAATAAAATCTCGCATTCTGATTGGTTAACGAAGCGAGGTATTTAGCGTGGATTTGCGAGTTAAAGTGCACCTAAACCCAAACTTTTTTTTTCGCTTAACGAAATAAGCTTATTTTTTGGAGTATTTCTGTGCAAAAATTTTTTAATTTGCTCAAATCTTTAATTTTCTATGCCCAGTCAAAATACGGAAAATCGGCCGCCATCTTGCCCCACGACCGAGTTTAAAGAAGAATGGCTCTAGCGGGTAATGTGACGTCAAATCGAGAACACGAAAGTCTGCATCTCACACATTTTCACTTGTTTGGGAAGATTGTCGTCGATATTGTCCGAAATATGCCGACTAGGTGTGTTGTATGAAGAATGTATGAAGCGCGATACCCTCTTGCAAATTTCGCACGTTGCTACATCCTTCTACAACACACTTAGTCGGCATATTTTCGGACAATTATCGACTACAACCTTCCCAAACAAGTGAAAATGTGTGAAATGCAGACTTTCGTGTTCTCGATTTGACGTCACATTACCCACTAGNTGCAAGAGGGTATCGCGCTTCATACATTCTTCATACAACACACCTAGTCGGCATATTTCGGACAATATCGACGACAATCTTCCCAAACAAGTGAAAATGTGTGAGATGCAGACTTTCGTGTTCTCGATTTGACGTCACATTACCCACTAGAGCCATTCCTCTTTAAACTCGGTCGTGGGGCAAGATGGCGGCCGATTTTCCGTATTTTGACTGGGCATAGAAAATTGAAGATTTGAGCAAATAAAAAAAATTTTGCGCAGAAATACTCAAAAAAATAAGCTTACTTCGTTAAGCGAAAAAAATTTTTTGGGTGTAGGTGCACTTTAAAAACGAGGCTATGTGAAATTGTTTCGCATCTACGTCACTAAGCACAACAACTATCGTCAAACTGTTACAAAGTTTGGTTTCTAAGTCAATTTAAAATGTTTTCAAAACCATTGTCACCCGTCTAAAGAGCAAAAACAAACATAGCGTTTTCAAAGTGAGCCTGAGGTTCTTCTTTGTTTTGAACTGAACTTCAAATTCTTGGAGAGGTATGAAAAACCTCTTTCGCTCGTGATAATCCGAAAGTGAAAAAATCCTGTGAACACGGCCCAGAAAAAACAATCTCCGAGCTAACAGGTCACGCCAACCCTGGTTCATTATCCATTTGCAGCCATAATCTTTTAGAAAATCAACAAAGGATGTAAAGCAAGTTGGCTGGGTTTTCAGTCGTACCACTTCGACTCTCACAGCTGCCAACGCCAGCGTCGGTCCACGCACTAAAGCTTTGCGAGAAATTTATGTCAACAGCCTTGCGCTTCCATCGATCAGTAGTTGGCAATAACACAACATCAATGAATAACGGCATTTATGATCTAGCAGTAAGAGTTCTAAGTGGATTGTTCACCGATGTATCGTTCAACAACTCTCCAGTGAATATCTCCATCAACTTTCAGTCGAATGCTCATCCCAACGATTCCGCTAATGGCAGTCGCCTGTACTGAATTTCTACAAATAAAAAGATTAAAGTTTTTGGACTTTTCATGAAACACTTCTTTTTTTTTGAAAAGGAATAAAGAATCGATCAATACACGCATTCACACTTCAAGGCACTTACCTTGTATTAATCGCGATGTTATTGGACTTGAAATCAGTGCTTTTGCTTGCACACTTCATTTCTGTCAGTTTGCCAGCAAAGAGGTAAAGGGTGTAAATCCTTTTCCTTTTCGAGCAAATAATTTGGAATTTTGAAAAAAAGATGTAAACGATAAACGGCTTGTAAATCCAGTGAAATACCACTATTATCCTCAAATAGTGTGAAGCTACTTTAAAAAGTTCAAAAATTAATGTAAAATCAAGCCCGAGGTACAAATAACATTGCCGAAGGTTCAAACGTGTACGGCTAACCTTGCTTTCTATTCGCTAACATAATGACACTTCTGACAGTTGGCTTTGAAATGGCTTTCTAGAGCGCGCGCTTGGAATGAAAAGCAATCAATAATATTGCCGATTTAATTTCTTGTTTTCTTGTTTTTTTTTTTTTTCAGTTCTGCGCTTCAAGGAAAATTGATTACCTGACTCGTGAATTCCGCGTTAAATTGCACTTAAATACCGACATCGCACTCATCGCGAAGCGACTCGTGCGATATCGGTTTTCAAGTAATATATCAAAAACGAGTGCGTGTGTTTCATCAGGGGTTCCAAACACCGAGAAACAGATGAAAGCACGAGGCTGCAGGCCGAGTACTTTTATTGTTTCGAGGTGCTTGTAACCCCTCATGAAACACGAAGCACGAGTTTTTGGTATAG